GTTGCATGACTTAATATCCCTTAGGTCCACAAGTGGTAAATGAAGGCCATACAATTTCCATCTACTGTCACCCAACAGCAAGCATTTGATATTCTATTACTTTTGTTAGATTTATATCCCAGTTCTATTTGAGAAGGTCACATCATCTTACATAGGTCTTCCCCACTTTATCCTTACAATAACAATGCTATGTAGTAAATCTGACCAAGAGAACAGGGCTGGACAAAACTTAGGTGCTTCAAAGGTGCTTTAAAGTTGATTAAAGATTAGCATATGGGTATTTCATCAATCTTAGTCTTCAAGCTAATAGCTGTAGCTCAGGGTTGAAATGGAGTTCAGGGCCTCCAGAAGTTGTAAATGCTCCAACACTGCAAGATTTTAGGAAGAGATTGGATAATCATTTGTCTGAAATGCTATAGGGTTTCCTGCTTAAGCAGGGGGTTGGACTAGAAAACCTCCAAGGTCCCTTCCAACTCTGTTATTCCATTCCATTCCATTCCTCCTTTGTGCTCTCTGAACTTGGTTGTTTTCTGTAGACATTTCATTAATCAAACTAATTAACATCATCAGCGCACAATTTGGATAATCAAATGTCTGCAACAAAACAACCAAGCTCAGAGAACACCAAGACCCCTCAGCTAGCTATTGTACCACACAGGATGTTTCTATGCTCAAGAGATTTTTCTGGCACATAATGTGAGGACCTTGGGTATTGTTTCAATATACCAGAACAATGTAGGTAGGGAAAACAATAGGATGATTTTTTTAAAAGTACACAAGGAAAGTATACAGTGTAGAATACAGTAAGGGAAACATTAACATTTAGCTCCTACAGTAATATAACTTGTTTCAGTTTAAATTGATTTGGAATCAATTTCAACCAAGGTGAGAGTTTTACCTACCCAATCTGACTCTTGCAAACTGATTAACTTTTTAAAAAAATGCTATGTGGAACACTCTAATGTCATTCACTATCTGCAGGCAGAAACAGGGAGAGAGTCCCTGCAAAAGACAGGCTGCCTCCCCATTCTGCCTTCAGATGCCATGTTCAGAAGTAATAGCAATAGCACTGACTTATACACTGCTCCAGAGTGCTTTAAAGCCCTCTCTAAGTGGTTTACAGAGTCAGCATATTGCCCCCAACAATCTGGGTCCTCCTTTTACTGACCTTAGAAGGATTGAAGCCTGAGTCAACTTTGACCCAGTCAATATTGAACTGCTGGCAGTCGGCAGAGTCAGCCTGCAATACTTCATTCTAACCACTGTGCCACCACAGAACAAGAGGCAGTAGCACAAACCCTCCAAAGGTACCTGGTAAAATCTACCAAGAAATTGTGAGATTGACCACTGACAAGACACAAACCCCTCCATTTCAGGAAAACATCTCTAAACATGTTGTCCTACCATTACTCAACTTGCCCTGTTCCAGAGGTGGGCTTCAAAATTTTTAGAAAAGGGTTATTTGCCCAGTTGCTGGGTGGGGGTGGCCATGGTGGGTGTGGCCTAGTCAGTCTCCTGCACCATGGCCAGGGGGGCGTTTCTGCCCTCCCCGGTCTCCAGAGGCTTTCCTCAAGCTTCTGGGAGGGCAAAAACGGCCTCCCTGGGCTCCGAAGGCTCTCTGGAAGCCAGAAACGGGCCCATTTCCAGCCTTCCCAAACTTCCAGGGGGCCTGTTTTTCATCCTTCCCAAGCCTCCATGAGTGCCCTGCATTTACCTGCAGCCAAAATGATCCGTGTGGGGGACCCCTGGGAGGGTTGGGGTGGAGTGGGATGGTCAGCAAGGGGTGGGATTTGGGGGCGTGTCTCCAAACTGCACAGAATCTTAGCTAGAGGATCTCCCGAACCCCTGCGAACCCCCAGCAGCCCACCCCTGCCCTGTTCTTTATCTACGCCAGAATTGGTTATTGTCTAATTTAAATTACATAGGGATCTTGGTAGTCCTCATTTAGCAACTATAATTGAGATCAGTCATTAAACAAAGTGAAACCACAACTCTGCTTATGTACTTACTTCAGCTTTGCTTTGCTCTGCTGTACAGACATGTGAAATTTGTAAATGTAAGGCCGAGTGCCAAAGTTACTTTTTCATCATTGTCATAACTGTAAATGGTGTCTATTACTTATACAAAGCTAAAACCAACTGTATTACTCAGTGAGGTTTAACGGCTCCCTGTATTGTAGGCACTTTAATACAATGTTCTTACCCCTCTCCACATATGTAGGTTTGTTTTTATGGCAACAGCAGCTTCTTTGAAGAATTGCCAATAAAAGCTAAAGGGATAAATTGTGGAACTAAAAAAAACACTTAGCATCTGCAATGATAAAGCTGCAAGCATCTGTTCAGAATGCAGTGCAGGATATTAATTGTTTTTGCTTACAAAAAGCTATCGGAGCACATTGTCAGTGGCTAAGAAGGCAATCAAATTAATAAAGTCTGATAAACAGTTTTCCCCATCATATATATCCTTAGACATTTAGCAACAAAATACAGCTCCTTCCCTAGAAATCTCACTAAGGCATTTATAAACAATGTAGAAATATCTACCAGCCCAAATACTGTATATACAATTCAGTAGCCTTACCAGCTTATACAAGCATGTCTTTAACCAGGGAAATATAATGGGGAATTTCTAGGACAATGTGATGTTTTTTTCCTTATACTCAATCAGTTAATTTAGGATAAGAGCAAATGTAAATATTTTTAGAACTTCAGGACAAAGCATTCCTTAGCATTCCATACAAAGAATTCCAAACTTAGTGTTTCACTAATCACATTAGCATATGCACCCGTGTTTCAACCATTAAACCAACTATGTTCCCTAACATGGTTGGAGGTTTTTTTTGGAAGGGGGGTCTTTAATTTTTCCTTCTTTCTCTATAGAGGTGACCTATATCCCATTTATCTTATTCTGTACTTAACAATAACCTGTAATGGTTTACACCGAATAGTAAAGTTTGGCATTCAGTCACTTTATAACCCTCATGGTTAGCAAGATTGCGTATTCTCTCTGGTCATAGTGGACTCCTGTTTTGTTTTTTCCTCCTCACTTTCCCATAATGGAGAGACCTTTTTTTTTCAAAATCCCTTTTTGTTTTTATATTTTTGAGGAAATAATTTAGATGAGTAATATTACAGTGTTAGTATAAATACTGGTATCATAGAATCATGGAGCTGGGAGGAACCTTGGAGGTCTTCTATCCAACCCTCTATCAAAGGTAAGAGACTTTATACCACTCCTGACAAATAGTTGTCCAATCTTTTCTTGAAAACTTCCAGGGATGGAGCATACAACAACTCCAGGAGGCAAGCTTTTCCATTGATTAGTTGATTTCTATTATTTACATGTTTTTTTGTGTGTTGTACCATAAGATTAGAGTCAAAGATTATTTAATTGATTAATAAAGAGAGCTTTGTGGTGTAGCCACCTCATCTACCATACTGTCATCAGAGGGAGGTACCATCCCAGCCATTCAGTCTTCTGTCCTTTTTGTCAAAAATATTAGTCTGTTTCTCAGAGTTGTTGAAAAGGTTATTAACTTTTAATCTTTCCAAAAGGTAATGGTTGCTTTCATCCTTGTTCTTTTCTCTGAAGCTGCCATCTTTTTGTTCAGTTCAGAGGCTTCTGGTCTCAGAGGTATCGAGAAAAGGTCATTGTGCCAATTGGCCTCTTTTTTTGTTTTTAATGGAAGAGATGAGCAGGAAGAAAACTCAGAAATTGAAGACAATATTGTTTGAGTCCCTCTGCCCTCCTCTTTCCTTCTTTGGCAAAATTCTGAGGAAAAAGGAAACCAGTACAGTAAATGCCTCACTTGAAAACATCTTTAGAATGTAGATGGTGTCATTGGCATAAATTGGAGCTCAATATCTTCCTGTGTTTTCCCAATATTTTAGTATTAAATAAATACTTAAATGAATAAATTGTGTATTTTTTTTCTTCTGGGGAAAGGAAATGCATGGACATTCCTTTCTGGGAAAAGAAATGGTCAGAAGAAGAAAATAAGAGAACAAATTTAAAGAAAAATGAAGGAAGAACACATAGCTAATTTGTCACTTTCTATTTCTTATGCTCACTATCACTATTGTTATAGTGAACAATTGATGGGAATTAATTGTTTAGAAATTGAGTTAAGTATATGGATGCTTGAAGCTAAGAATTCACTATACCCTTCCTTTTTCCAAAACAAAAATTAAAGGAGATTGCACCATTAAATATGTGTGCATTGTTCACATAAAACAAGCTCAGATATGATTTGCAATTTCTGTCTACTCAGTATCTATGGAATCTCTTGCTTGGAAGACAGATTGTTATTCATATTAACAACAATAATAATGTCATTTCAAATATTACACTTAGTATGTGAAAACTGTGCATGAGCCAACATTCATAGTAAGGCCATGTTTTTCTTACCTTCAGCCAAAATGGCACAGAAAATCATACAAACTGTTTCTCCTAAACTCTTCATTCACAAGTTACTGCTAAAAGCAGGGGATGGATAAGAAATAATCCAGTTATCAAAAAAAAAATTACAATCACAAATAACTTTTTTATTTTAAGGTAGAAAAATCCCTTTGGCCTTGTTTGTGCTTTTGAAAACTTGAAAGCAAATAGCAATGCTTGGCCTTGCACTAAATATTGCTCTGAACATTCTGTACACAAGGTAGTAAATGGCAAGAGGAGCTGGCAAATGTTTAAAATCAGCTTTGAAATGATAGCCGTAACATATAAAGGAGCAACATTCTTAGAACAAAGCACCCCAAACGTTAAAAGACTTCTAAATCATATTCAAAGAACTTGCCTGATTGAATATTGCTTTGTGCTTTAGTGGATTTGAGAGAAAAGGGTAATCGCTGTTCCTTTCTATGCGTGCATATGTATATACTGTACAGTATATGTCTGTTTATACTCTCTCTCTCTCTCTCTCTCTCTCTCTCTCTCTCTCTC